GGGATGGACAGATAAGAAGGATAAAGGAAGGATACAAGCAGGTAAGAGTCTAAGGCCACCACACCTGCCACCTCCCCCTCAGAGGTAGCCTGAGGACCTGTACTGCCTCCGGTGCTGGAGGCCTGAGTCCCCCTATAAAGCCTCTGCTTTGCCTCTCACATCAGAGGCCCTGGCCAAGGCCTTCTCCTTGTCCACCCTTGGAGTCTCATACCTTGGATCTCTGGTAAGTACTTGACCCCTGTGAAGCGGATTGGACCCCATACCTAGAGGGGGTCATGGGAGCCCAACTTTCTCCTCAGAAATACACCAAGAATGACAGACCCTTCCCCTTGGCAAGCCCAGCCTGCTCTACCCAGAGATGGAAGGTGGGATGATTGGCCCCAGGTCAGCTGCAGCAAGTCCCCACGCAGGCCTCAGCCAGTGCTCCCTGGAAATCCCCCAGACCCTCCATCTCCCCACTAAATGCCCTTCCTGTTAAGGACTGGGGTCACATCAGTGCCCAACCCCAGGGAGATCCTTCACCTCAGACACACAGGCATCAGCCAACCAAAGCAATGCCAGCCACGAGCCAGAGTGAACGGGCAGGGGCCAGGAGGTGCACAAGGCTGACAGGAACAGGTGTAAACCGGAGCTAGCCAGCTTGGCTGTGTCTGGTTCTGAGCACTGGAGGAAGGAGGGGGTTCGCGCCTGGGAAGCTGGAGCAGCCGAGGGTATCTGGAAGCCTGGGCATCTTCTCTGCTGGATCCACTGCTGAACACACAGACAGAGCCAGCTCCCCCGACTCTGTGGCTTCTCAGGGGACACAGCCCAACATGTACACAAGAGATTCTCAAAAACAAGACCAAGACTTCCTGTCCCCATCCTCCAGCCTCAAGGGACCTCAAAGCATGAGGGAGCGCTGGTGACTGTCCCCAGAATTCTGTCTACATCTGTGTTCTTTCTCTGTCCTCCCTCAGAGAACTATTTGTGCCCCTGGCTTGTGGGCAGTCACACTGTCTCAGGTGTCCTCCCTTCTGGAAACTTCCAGCTCCTCCACTATTCACACTCCTTCCTCCAGGGAGCATCAAACCCAGGCTGCTGCTCCAGAAGGAGGAGATGCCAGTGGCAGCCAGGGATCCTGAAGTCCTTGCCCGGTTTGCTGGGAGAGGCTGCTGTTCATGCTGCCAAGATACAGCCAGGCCTCTGCCCGACAGAAACAGTCCTTCCTGCTCTTCGCATTCCAGAAAAGGAAGAGAAATGCTCCTCAGAGAAGCAAATGACAGGGGAGGTCCCCTATAAAGACAGGTCAGCAATGGGGCTGCAGGCAGAGCTGGCTTGAGTCCCCACTGAGTGATGTCTGGCAAATGAACTTCTCCAAGCCCCCCGGTCCCTGTCCTGTAAATGGAGGTGATACCAGAATGCCTGCTGCCTGGCACCGTTGGTCGGCATGTAAGTGGGGCATTTCAATTCTGAGCTTAGAGGGTGCACTGCACAGCAGGGCTCAACAGGCCACAGTCCTCTTCCTGCACGGGTGGATTCAGGGTCTCCCTCAGGGACAGCTCAGGCCCCAGGACCAGACATCCGGGTTTGAATCCAGCCCTGCTGCTGACCAGCTGGGTGTGCCTTGAGCAATGAACTCACCCTGCCTGGCCGTCCACCTCCTCTTGGTGATGAGACCCAGTGACCGTCCCATATCCGAGGGCCATTAGAAGAGCTGCATGAGGGACCAGCGTAGCGTGTAACACAGCCACGCACTGGCGTGGAGTAAGTGCTCAGCGGCTCGTTTGTTACTTTTACCCCACGCCAATCACAAGTGTGTGACTCTCCTCCTTTGTTCTGGAGCTGAAAGTGCCTTGGTCCCCAAGCCCCGGAAAGAGCAGGGTGGAGGGGCCCGCCCACGCCAGAACCCTCAGAGGACCTCCTGACCAAATCCACATCACCTGTAGGACACTTGCACCACTGCGTCACCCACCAGGAAGCGAGCGGCTCCTGAGGTCAGGTCAGGAAACTGTGCCTGCAAGTGAGTTCCCAGAACAGGAGAACATTTCCCTGAAGCTCCGCCCTCCCTGGGCACCGGTGCTCTGCGAGGTGGGAGCGAAGGCAAGCTGCTGGTGCGCAGCCTCTGGCTGAGGCCCTGGTGGGAGATCAAAAGCTTGGAGCAGGAGCAGCTAGGGGGAAGCTAGAGCGTGGAGAAACAGGCTCGACAGAGGGGAAGTGACTGTCCCAGGGTCACCGGCAGCCAGTGCTCGGCCACATCACGGGACCCTGTGTCACTGCTTTCCTACCTTTCCGCAGGCCGGAATTCTGAAGGGTCTTCCTTTGCATGCATGTGCCATTTTCATCCCTTTTGAAAAGGCCTGTTTTTCTGTTTTGTTTTATTTTGTTTTGAGGCAAGGGCTCACTCTGCGGCCCAGGCTGGAGTGCAGTGGTGCGATCATGGCTCACTGCAGCCTCGACCTCCCAGGCTCAAGCAATCCTCCCAATCTTGGTCTCCTCAGCTGGGACTATGGGTATGCACAGTCCTATGTCTGGCTAATTTTTCTTTGTTACTTTTTACAGAGATAGGGTCTCCCTATACTGCCCAGGCTGGTATCGGAACTCCCGGACTCAAGGGATCCTCTTGCCTCAGCCTCTCAAAGGGCTGAGATTATAGGTGTGATCCCCTGTGCCTGGCTTAAAAAGGCATCTTTTCTTTTTCTTTTTCTTTTTTTTTGACATAGTGTCTCGCTCTGTCACCCAGGCTGGAGTGCAGTGGTGTGATCTCAGCAACTCCGCCTCCTGGGCTCAAGAGATCCTCCTGCCTCAGCCTCCTGAGTAGCTGGGACTACAGGTTCATGCTGCTACCGACGGCTAATTTTTGTATTTACGGTGGAGACAGGGTTTTGTGTTGGCCAGGCTGGTCTCCAACTCCTGGCCTCAAGTGATCCACCCACCTCGGCCTCCCAAAGTGAAAAGGCATCGTTTTTATACCTTACATCTGACCATTTTGTTCCTGAACTTTTTACTCAGATCATTTTTTAAAAATTGAGATGACATTCATATAACATACAATTAACCATTTTAAAGCGTGCAACTCAGTGGCATTTAGTGCATTCCAAATGTTGTGTGACCACCAGCTCTCTCTAGTTTCTAAACGTTTTTATCGCCCCATAAAAATATCTCATACCTGCTAAGGAATCACTCTCCATTCCCTCTCCCTCTCCCAAAACCCCGATAACCTCTAATCTGCTTTCTGTCTGTCTGGGCTTGCTGCTCCCCTCCCCTCCCCTCCCCTCCCCTCCCCTTTCTTTTCCCCTTTTTTTTTCTTTCCTTCCTTCCTTCCTTCCTTCCTTCTTTCTTTCTTTCTTTCTTTTCTTTCTTTCTTTCTCTCTCTCTCTCTCTCTTCCCTCCCTCCCTCCCTCCCTCTCTTTCTTCCTTCTCTCCTTTCCTTCTTCCCTTCCTTCCTCTCTTTTATTCTGGTTATATCCTACAAAAGAAATCATACAATATGTGGTCTTTTGTGAGCAGCTTCCCTCACTCAGCGTGATGTTCCCAATGTTCATCTGCTCGCAGCATGCATCAGTATCGCATCCGTTTTCGTGAGTGGATCACAGCCTGTCATATGGATCTATCACATTTGTCTATCCATTCATTCGCTGATGGACATTTGGATCAATTTAAACATGCAGAAGAGTTCAAAGAATAATGTAATGAGCACTCATTTTCTCACTACCAGATTCAGCCCCGGGGTCAGGACTAGGGTGAGACCAGTAAAATGCCTCCAGCACCGCAGGGAAGGAGGCGGTCACTCCTGGGGTCTGCAAGGAGTGGGGTAGACTCCGCAAAACCATGGCTGAGGCACCTCGTTGGCCTGAACATAGCCCAGGACCTGTTCAACAATTTTAATATGTCGTCATGCTGCGTTTATTTTGTTCCACGAACACTTGTGTTGCTGAACCGCTTGAAGGTAGGTTACAACCACACAAGGCTTCATCCTCAGTTCCTTGAGTCTGTTTTTCAAACAAACTCGTTTCCTAATATGCTCCTATTTACTATTTCCTCCTCTCTAGAATGGAAGAATGTTCCCCTGCATACCCATGGACCCATTCTCACACGTGACTGCATCAACCATAATCCTGTATAGTATCTGCCTCTGCACCATATTCACGTTTCCCTATTCTCCCAAATGTGTCTTTCATAGGTTTTTTGGTTGGTTGCTTGCTTGGTTAACTGTTTTGTTTTATTGTTTGTTTGTTTGTTTTTTTGAGACAGAGTTTCACTCCTGTTGCCTAGGATGGAGTGCAGTGGCGCAATCTCGGCTCACTGCAACCTCCGCCTCCCGATTTCAGCCTCACTGCCTCAGCCTCCCAAGTAGCTTGGATTGTAGGTGTGCGCCACCTCACGCAGCTAATTTTTGTATTTTTGGTAGAGACGGGGTTTCACCATGTTGGTCAGGCTGTTCTTGACCTCCTGATCTGAAGTGATCCATCCGCTTCGTCCTCCCAAAGTGCTGGGATTACAGGTCCTATTCCATTACTTTTTCTTGTTGTCATTAAACCTGTCCCACCATACTCTGTAAATCCTGTGATCTGAAAGTCGAGACTAAAGCCTTCATTACATCAGGCTGAACACTTTGGCAAAAATACTCCATTAGTGATGTCTTCTCATCCTTTTACACCAGGAGGCCTGAGATGTCAGCTTGAGCATCCAACAAAGGATATGAAATCTGAGCATGTGTCTAAACGCGTGACCATCGCCTCTCCTTGTTATAATGGTACATTTCCCCCTTTGTACTGTCATCTGGGGGAAGTTTCTTTGCAGCTGCACAAATATGCTCTTCCCTAATCACCCTTCACCCAGCGGTGTTTAGCATCTATTGATGATTCTACCTGAATCGAGAGTTACATTGGAGGTTGCAAAATGGTGGCTTTCTGTCTCATTCCTTCTACATGTATCAGGTGGCATCCTTTTGCAAAGAAGAGCTTTCCTCCTGCCCACTTCCCTCCTCTCTGTCTCTCTCTCTCACACACAATGAACTCACGAATTTTCTATTTGTTTAATGTATTTTCATTAACTACAGTCATTCTTATTGATGCTCAGTAGTCCCAGACATCGCCACGTGGATCCCTCAAGTCAGTTTCGCATCCTTTCCATGTGACCCCAGGAGTTTTTAAGCCTCTCCCTCCATCTTGGGACTGTAAGACATCCTGGGCTTCACTTGGAGCTTCATTTCCATGGATATGGAGTCAGCCATTTCTGCAGAAAATTTTAGTTCCTCTTGGTGGGTAACAGTGTTTAGAAATCCAGACCTGGGTGCCAGGTGGTCTCACTGCTCCTGGGTTGTTATTTCATCAAGGATTTTTCAGTGGACAGAGCTAAGAAAAATAAAATGAGCTCAGAATTATATAATCGGTTCAAATTTAACACCCAAGGGGGATTTTTTTTTAACTCATTCTCTTAAAAACATAATACTCGAGTCTCTTTTTCATAGAGAGTCTTGTTTTCTAACATACTCTTATTTACTATTTTCTTTATTTTTTAATATACATAAACTGCCTTCAAAATTACCATATTATCATTACTATTTACCATAAACCTACTAGGTAAAGCTTAACACATCATTGTAGTTTTATCTGTCCTTAAAATATATCCCACCACAGATGTATAGTCAGGGTAATTTTTTCAAAATTATTTAAATGGGTGTTTGGTCGTGTGTGTGGTGGTGGGGGTGTTGGTTTTTTTATTTGTTTGTTTGGTTTTTTTTTTTTTTTTTTTTTTTTTTCTCTGTGGTTAAGCTCTCTAATTTACAACTAGGTTTATTTGTTTCTCTTCATGCACAACTTAGGGAGGGTTTCTTCTTTTTCCTATTTTTTAAATTTTATTTGATTTCATTTTTTGAACATGTAAATCATGTACAAATTATGTACAAATGATTCGAAACACAAAACTATATTTAAAATCCTATTTGGAGACGTTTCTTTCCCATGCCAATTTCCTCCCATCCTCCTCCATTAGTTTCCGGTTTATTCTTCCTGTATTCCTTGACATGTGTGTTATTCGTGTGAGTACGTACATAAATACATACTCTTGTTGCCTCTTCTTTCTTACAGAATTCATGTTACGGATGTAGATTGGAATCTGCAGTCCTGGAAGAGAAAATAATTTTAAATGAGACAAAGATGTTTTTGAATCTTACCTCTACGTCCTGCTGATTGTGTGACTTGAAGTAGTCACACAGCCTCTGAGTCCCAGTTTCCCCATGTGTGAAATGGAATAACAACACTTGCCTTGTATGGTTCAGTCTATGATTAAGATATTTCTGACATTACACAAAAAGGCAAATTCTAGAACAAGGAGCAAAATATGCAAAACAAACTAGAAGAATATTTTTAAATATTTTTTCAAAACGTTAAACCCTCCTGTACAAAACATGAACCCAGGATCCACAAGTAAAAAGCAACTTTGGCTGCTCTGACTATGGAGCGGACATTCCTTTGCTTTCTTAATAAATTTGTTTTCACTTTATAAAAAATAAAACAAGAAAAGCAAAGCAATGACTTCATAAAAATGTAAAACGTCTCTGTGATAAAAGACACTGTAGTCAAAGTTAAAACACAAGAAATAGACAAGGTGAAAACGTTGGCAACATATTTAAAACACATCAGGTGCAATCACTTTGAAAAACTGGTTGGCAGTTTCTAATAAAACTTAAACATATACCTGTGACCCAGTTATTCAGCTCCTAGGTATGTACCCAAGAGAATGAGAACACATGTTTACACAGAGACTTGTGTAAAAACGTTCATAGAAGCTTTAGTCATAATAGCCCCAAACTGAAAGCAACTGATGTGTCCATCAATAAGAAAATGAATAACCAGTGCATGGATTGTCTATACGAAATATTACTCAGCAATTAAAAAGAACCAACTGAAGACACACGAATCTCAGAAAAATATATGTGGAACAAAACAAGCCAGACATGAAGAGTTTACCTGTATGACTCCCTTGTACGATGTACAGGGAGAAACAAATGTAATTGATAGAAATCAGAATAATGGTTGCTCTTGGGTATTGACTGCAAAGGAGCGGAGGGAACTTTCAGAAGCGATAGCGATGTTTTATGTCTTGATGTGGGTGATGATTACACAAGCTTATACATCTGTCAGAGTTCTTCAAACTCCACACTTAAGACCTGCATATTTTACTGTGTGAAAAGTACATCTCAATTAAAAAGACAATAAATTAAAAGAACATATATAAAGAGCTCCTAAAATATCAATAAGAAGAGGACAATAAGTATCCTCGAAAAATGTGAAAGGCTATGAACAAACAACTCATTAATGATGAAACATGCATGTCCAACAAACAGATGAAGAAAGATGTTCAGCTTCTCAAGTAAGCTTGGAAATGCATGCTCAAACATTCAGATTTTATTTTTATCTGTCAGGTTGGCAAAAGTTAAAAAGATTAATAATATCAAATGCTGGCAAGAAATCAGAGAAACAATAACTTTCGTGTACCGTCCATTGGTGGAAGTTATTGAAAGGCAATTTGGCAGTGCCTATCAAAATTTAAAACTGCTCATCTTTTGACACCGCAATCTGACTTCTAGAAACCTAGACAAAAGAAGAGTTTATTTAAACTATGGTATTTCTGTGCCGTACAGTGAAGGAGATCTATATGCACCAATATAAAAGGACCTATAACTAAGTGAACAAAAGCAAAATGCAGAATCATGTATAGTACAGCACAATCCCATTTATATTATTATAAAATCTAAGTGTATACAACTACATACACCTACATACACGTTCAGAGAGTACACGGGAAAAATGGACCTTAAGTGTTGATAGGGTTATCAACGCTGCATAATAGCCCCAAACTGAAAACAACTGATACGTCCATCAATAAGAGAATCAATAATCAGTACATGGATTGTCTATACCATGAAATGCTACTCAGCAATTTAAAAGAACAACTTTGGGGGCGGGGGGACTTGAGAGTGTTAGGTAAAGGAGAAGTTTCTCATATTGTATTGTATATTTTTAGTATTGCTTTTATTAAGTTGACGCAAATGTAATTGCAGTTTTTGCCATTACTTTTAATGGCAAAAACCTCAGTTACATTTGCACCAGTTTAATACACTAAGAGTGTTCCAGCTGGGCACAGTGGCTCACGTCTGTAATCCCAGCACATTGGGAGGCTGAAGCAGGAGTTCGAGACCAGCCTGGGCAAGTTGGCAAGACCCCATCTCTACAAAAAATTTAAAAATTAGCTGGGAGTGGAGTCTCCCAGCTGTAGTCTCAGCTACTCAAGAGGCTGAAGGGGGAGGATTATTTAAGTCTCAGAGGTCAAGGCTACATTGAGCAGAGATTGCACCACTGTACTCTACCTGGGTGACAGAGGGAGACTCAGTCTCAAAAAACAAAAAAAAAAAAAAAAAAAAAAAAGAGTATTCCTGTATTCTTGGTGTAATTTTACAAACAAACAAAAAAGGTTTTCAGCAGTTTCTAATGCTAAGGATTTGTTAGGGAATCATTTAACATATGTGTAGCCCTTAATAGATGTCCAGCACTATGAGATGGGGAAAGGGACCCAAAGAAGTGGGTCTCATTCAAATCCCTGTACATTTACCTCACAATGGTCGTGAGATATGAATCCTTCACATATATTCCCTGCTGTCGTCCAACATGCACTTGAAGACATTTGACCAACATTTAAGTGCATGTTACCTAGGCTTGGAGAGCAATGGTGCAATCATGGCTCACTGCAGCCTTGACCTCGTGGATCAAGCGATCCTCCCGTTTGGGCCTCCCAAAGTGCTAGGATTACAGGCACAATCCACCATGCCCTGCCCACTCAAATGTATTCCTATATGTGTGGCAGGAACAGGAGATCTTTTACCTGAAAGTTAGTAAATAACGTGGGTTAACCCCTTATCCAGAACCCTGGAAACTGGCGTGTGCTGAAAATCAGAAATATGACATTAGTAGGTACCGCTGTGCAAAATCTATATTTACACAATACTCTTAGCATTCTGGGTCAGCACCTTACCATCCACATACAACATTTCCACAGCAAAATGCACACATATTTCTACTGAATATAAACACTACAAATAGTCACAGGTCACATCAGCTCCGGTTCTGCTGCCACGTGAGTTTGTGCCAAACTGACAAAATAAACTTTTGTTTTGAAGAGCTCTTGAGATCTTGGAATTGTGGATAAGGGCAAGACCCCTCGTGAAGCCTTTCCTGTTAAAAGCCATTTCTGATGACATAATGCTCTTTCATTTCAGCCTGTCCTGTCATAGCTGAGCACACAGCGGATGAACCCAAGTTAAGGGATCAGGGCGATGCTGTCTCGGAGGCCTGGCCTTAGTCCCATGGGGTGATTTCCATCTTTGGACCAACTGCATTACGAATAGGAAAGCTATCTGAGAGCATGGGCTGGATAAGACAGCACCTTGGGAAAGGACACCACAGCAGGGTCAGTGTGTGCTGAGTGCAAAACGTGGCTTTTGGTGGCCTGGTAAATGGCCTTTTGTGGGGATGGCTACACGCTCTGCCGTCAGCCACCTCTGGCTGCTTCTAACTGGATTCACAGAACCCCACTGGGCTGGTTTGGTGAGTCCTTGAATTAAAAACACCTGGGTGCCAGGTACCTGAGGTGTGTTTTGCACATACAAGAAGCATGGGAAAAGGTATGTGGCTTGACATGCACTCCTGGACTCCAAAATAGAAGACGAGGAGAGAAGACAAGGTCAGAGGTCATTTGCACTTCCCTGCCAGCCAGGTGGGTGGAATCCGCCTGTTTCCACAGGGGGCCTGGCTTGAGTATTTGAGGAAAGTTCCCATCACCAGCATTTGTCCTCTTTCTGTGTTGGTCTCACTTCCAGGAAGTGATGCAGGAAGCACACCAAGACATAGTCACACGCACACACGCACACGCACACACCCACACACCCACACCCGCGGCGCTGAAGCCCCGGCTCCCGGCCCACCAGCCGTGGCCAGTGACCGTGCGCAGTCTCAGATCTTCATTTGTGAGTTCATGTGGGGAAATCCAAAGTCAGCATATGAAAATCAGCTCCAGGGCACCAGGGTCTAATGCGCAAAATTTTGCAAAATTTCACATCGTCATTCTGCTCTGGAGGGGCTTTGAGTTGACGCTGCCCACGTGGTGGCGGCCTGGGTTGCGGGTGCCCCCTAGTGGCTGGCAGGAGCAAATGCAAACCTTCTCTGGAGGGAAGCCTTCTGTCTGATTTACCAAAGAGAATAAACAAACAACATGTAACCCCAGCACTTTGGGAGCCCGAGGCGGGCCATCACGAGGTCAGGAGTTCAAGACCAAACAATGAGTCACCATGAGCAAGAGTCAGCAGAGACGATAAGCAACAGATTGTCAGAGACTTCACACAATACAATAATCAGACAGGTTGTAAAATAACAAGGTATGCAATGCTTTAAAAAAGATGGATAGGAAACAAAGAATCAAGAAATAAGAGACTACAAACCATACAGGCAGATGTTTATGAAGGATCAAGTAGAACTTCTGAACATGAAAAAAAAAATCTCTGAAATTAAAAATTAAATGGATGTGCTCGACACAGATAAAGAAAGAATTGACGAATTAGAAGAGAGGTATGAAGAAATTACCACAAATGCACCAGGACAGCCAAAGAATGGAAAAGTTAATAGAGAGGTTAAAAGAAAAGGAAAATATGAGAATGATCTAAGCTATGATTAATCTGTGCCCCTCAAAGAAGTAAAAAGACGGTGGGAAAGAGGCCATATTCAGAGGGTTAATGGCTGGGGAGAGACTTTCCAAATCCACATATGCAGGAAAACAGAAAGATTCCAGGCAAGATGAAAGTGCAGGTTGTTGTGAGTTGCATGTATTAATAGAAAAGTTGAGGACTGTCCAGACGAGGTGGCTCACGCCTGTAATCCCAGAATTTTGGGAGGCCAAGGCTGGCAGATGACCTGAGGTCACGAGTTCAAAACCAGCCTGGCCAACATGGTGAAACCCAATCTCTACTAAAAATACAAAAATTAGTTGGGCTTAGTGGCACGTGCCTTAATCCCAGCTGCTCTGGAGGCTAAGGCAGGTGAATTGCTCGAACCTAGGAGGCAGAGGCTGCAGTGAGCTAAGATTGTGCCACTGGACTTCAGCCTGGACGACAGATACTCCATCTTAAAAATAAAAATAAAGAAAAGAAAAGTTGAGGACTGAGCCTCCAGGGCTCCTCGTTGAGACTTAGGCACCAATTCAATCCAGCGATCTCTGGGAGGGCCACCCTGGCATCAATAGCAGGGGCCACAGGAGTCCTCAAAGGGAGAAATCACTATGAACAGCTGGCCAGAGCACAGCCTTGAAGGATGATGGGCTTGTCCAGTGCTGAATCGAGAGACCTTGGTCTGAGCCCTGTATTTTACAGGGCAGCCCAGGAGGTTCCCTGGGGACGGAATTTAGCAGGGTGAAGAGGAAATGGGATGGCGTTCTAAGCAGGGAGGAAGGCATGGGCAGAGCTGTGGAAGCTAAACACTTCCTGAGCCAAGGACAAAAAGGAGTCCTGTTGGGTCATACTGGGGAACACTAAAGGGAGCAATCATAAACCAGATTGGAAGAAGAAGGTGAAACCAGGCTAGGGAAGTCCCTTGAGAGAAAAGCAGAGGTTTTGGACTTGAAACGCAAGGCCAGGGATTGGCAACTACAGTCTGAGGGCCAACTCTGGCCCACTGCCTATTTTTATAAATAAAGTTTTATTGGAACAGAGCCATGCTTATTCATTTGGTATCGTCTACGGCTGTTTTTGAGCAACCATAGCAGAGATGAGTAGCTGTGGCAGAGACCATATGGCCTGCAAAGCCTGTAGTATTTATTCTCTGGCCCGTTGCAGAAAACCTTGCTGGCCACTGCTGTAGGTGGGTATAGCCGGTCAACGAGGCCTTTCAGCAGACGCCAAGATGGTAAAGATGAGCCTGGCAGTGGCTGAAGGACAGGGTGTGTTCTAAGGGGAGGGAGAAACGTGCCTGACCTCTACTGAGTTCCTGCCGCATGCTCTTCCTTTACCCGCATTGTCACTGTTAATTCTCCTAACCACCCTCCCTGGAAGCTGTTACTGCCTCCATTTCAGAGATGAGGAAAATGGGGTCCAGAGAGGTGAAGTGACTTACCAAGGTTACCCAGTGCTTCAGGGCAAACTGAGATTTAATTTCAAGTTAGTCAGATTCCAGAGCCCATGTTCTTCCCACCACACCCCACCGCCTTTCAGGGCACTGAATATCCCAGGTGGGAGGGGACAGCCCCAAGCCAATGAATCGGCTACTGTCTGTCACAGCCAGCAACAGTCCAAATGGAGGAGACAGTGTTTCACTTCCCTGAGAACAAATGTAGGGGCCAAGCCTCATCTGGAGAGGGAACTTCTGCCCAGGGCTCCTCCAGCAATTGCTCTCAACTTGTTCAAACATGGACTCCATCCTGTTCCCTCCACCCCAGGCCTCCGGAGCCAGCGGCTCTGCCAGGAAGGCATATCATTCCATCTTCCCCCAACCTCATCTCACAGCCAGATGCTAAAGGCAGTTGGGAGATACCATCTCCCCATCTACAAAAGAATCAAGGGTTGGAAGCTCTGCACGGTGTCATCCACAAGAGATGACCCGGTTGATTTGCAGTGAAATTGCAACACAGCCTCTGCTTCCACCCCAGCTGGATCCTAAGCCCTGGAGCAGAGGAGAGCTGGCCTCATTTCCACCCCCATCCTGGCTCCTGTTCCGTTCGTGACTAATTCGGATCTTCGTCTGACAGCCACCATGACCACTTCATCCAGAGAGGCCCCAGCAGACCTGCTTCTCGGTTTTGTGGTCAAACTGGTTCTTGAAACTTCCCCAGAGGTCCAGCACGGTTTAATCTGTCTGTGGTGAACTCTAACTGGCTGCCCTTTGGGGTTGAGCTGGCCGAAGACTTCAGAAACCACGAGAAGGAGGTCAGGAAAGTATGACTTCTACCTGAGGCCTTGGTTAACTGCATGGTGTGTAAGACAATAGGAACCCACCCAGCACATCCCAACGGATGGTTCTGTTCCTTATCAGCTCCCCATTGGCCCAGAAGCCAGGCCAGACAAGCTCTGACTCTAGTATTTCCATCAGAAAATAAACACAAATATAGGCAGACAATCTCCCCAGAGCAGGTGGGAGGAATCCTGTGAGCCTCCAGGCTCATTGACCGCCTCTAATGAGCAATTGCTATACCCTCCTACTCTCTTGTCTTGGGAAACAGTCAGAGTTATATGTCAGCTCCAGGGGAAACTGGACCCACACGTACTCATGAGCTGGGGTGTCAGTTCTTCTGGATGCAGAAGGAGAGGAGAGAATGAGGGATACCTGTCCATGCTACTCACCAGCCTTCCTCAGACACAGTTGCCAGTTCCTTGTGGCAACCCCGCTTGTGTGCTCACCTAGGGGAGAAGAAGGAAAGAGACCGAGGGAGGAAAAAGCAAATAAGGTTTCATGAGCATCTATTATGTGCCAAGCTCAAAGCTGGGCACACACAAGCATCATCACATTTTTTCTTTATGCAGTGAAGCAGACATTCTTTTTTAGACTCCATGTGCATTCCTGAGACACAGCATAACATAAATGTGAAAGGCAGCTGCAGAGACAGCCCCTCCTGGATCCCAGCTCTGCTACTAACTACGTGTGTGGTCTCAGTTTACACATCACATAGGAACTAAACAATAATAATTATTTCATATGGTTATTACAATGATTGAATGAGGTCATTTATATAAAGTACTTGGAATAATGCCTGACACATTGAAAATAAAATAGTAGTGTTAATTAATTTTGATTTTTTTTATCATTATTCTCTTTTCCTGAGGAAATCAGAGAGGGGTAGTGACCTACACAAGGTCACACTGCTAGCGAATGACGACACAATTAGCCAGGCATGGTGGTGCACGCCTGTGGTCCCAGCGGCTGCAGAGTCTGAGTTGGGAGGATCCCTTGACCCAAGGAGGTGGAGGCGGCAGTGAGCCATGATCTTGCCACTTCACTCCAACCTGGGTGACAGAGAGAGATCCTATCCACAAAAACAAACAAAAGAGACTGGCAACACTGGTATCCACATTCAGGTTCACCTGACGCCACTATTCCCCATGCAAAGATTTTAGTCCTTCGAGGTCAAGTTAAGAAGAGAAGCCCTGGAGTGCTTGAGCCTGGAGCAAGGTCACTGCAAAGGCAGCTGCCAGAGACTGTGGCAGTCCCCACAGAAGAGAGAGAGTCATCTTGGCAAAGGCATGGGGATGAGGTGCTCTAGAAGGGCCTCGGGACTTCTCAGCACCCCCAGGGCAATGGCTCTGGAAGAAAGCCATTTCCAGAGGTGGTCTGTCCCTGAAGACCAGCCAGTGATTGTGCAGAAAACGTTCAGGGAGACAGTTCAGCAAGGTCAGTGGGTGGTGAAGGGCAAGGTCAGTGGGTGGTGAAGGGCAAGGTCAGCAGGTGGTGGAGGGCAAGGCCAGCAGGTGGTGGAGGGCAAGGTCAGCAGGTGGTGGAGGGCAAGGTCAGCAGGTGGTGGAGGGCAAGGCCAGCGGGTGGTGGAGGGCAAGGCCAGCGGGTGGTGGAGGGCAAGTTCAGCGGGTGGTGTAGGGCAAGGCCAGCAGGTGGTGGAAGGCAAGGCCAGCGGGTAGTGGAGGGCAAGGCCAGCAGGTGGTGGAGGGCAAGGCCAGCAGGTAGTGGAGGGCAAGTTCAGCAGGTAGTGGAGGGCAAGGTCAGCAGGTGGTGGAGGGCAAGGCCAGCAGGTGGTGGAGGGCAAGGCCAGCAGGTGGTGGAGGGCAAGTTCAGCAGGTGGTGGAGGGCAAGGCCAGTGGGTGGTGAAAGGACTCCTGACCACAGATAGACACTCAACTCCATTACCCAACACCAGCGCAGATGCACGGCCAGCACTCACCTGTGAATGGTGAGACTTGTATCAGCCAAGACCAAAGTGGCAGTAGCCACTTCTGGGGGAGCGTCTCTCCTTGGCAAGCCCACATCCAGACACAAAGTAGGTCAAGTTCCTGGAGGCTGAGGGGAGCTTCCCAGCTCCCTGAGTGTCATTTCTCCAGCTGTAAAATGCAGGTGATCAGACCCAGCTTCCAGGGCAGCTCCGAAGACTGAGGTTGGGTGTATACAGGACAGAGGAGAGAATGGGGTACAGAGTGTAGCCAGCTTTCCTCCGTGCATTGCGGAGTGCTGGTAAGGTGCACTTGTGACCCTCTGCTCATCACTATGCTTCTAATGCTCCTGCCCAAACCTGCCTCCCATTCCTTCAGAGAACTGGCTTCAAGATGGGTTTCTTCTGAGCGTCTCTCAACGTGACCCCCACACCTAATGAAAAATCAAAGTGCAACTTGAATATCCCCGGACAGGTGTAGCTGATAGCTTTGTCCCCATATTCTGGAACCAACAAACGTAAAAACCCAGACTTCCTCCAAAGATACTGAGTTCTCCATGATCGGTGGGTTAAAAGGACAGGCCAGCATCACTTGCAGAAGAGGTTGCAAATGGCATTCGTGTATTGAAGAGAAGCCACAAACTATAGCCTTCAAAATCCACAGGGGTTGGCCTGAGCCTCTGATTTTCTGTGGTTAGACTTCAGGACTGCTTTGAAGACAGACCCCAAAGCCTTCTTCATAGAGTGCCTTCTGCCTATGGCAGGTATGTGTGGGCATGTGAGTTCAAAGCCAGTACAATATTGGCATGGAGGAATTAGAGAAGAATGAGGAGACAGGGCAGGAGGGGGTATCCCCATGGCCCAGCAGACCTTTCTGCTAATACGGCTTGCTCACTTCTTAAAATTCCTGAGACTCCACCTCTACAGCCCCAGAGGCTGAGCTGTGATAAAATTTACCCTCTCCCAACGCCTGAGGCACACCGGGTATCTAGGAGGGAGATGAACTCACACTCACTCCCAGAAGCATCGTAAGATTCCACAGTGGTTGCTCTGAAAATCTGTTGGGGGCCCAGAAAGGCATCAAGGCAGCCCTTTGGAAGACAAGCAGACAGCCTCGAAGGGAACCAAATCCTCGATTACTCTGGGGACTGGAGCCTTTGAAAAGAGATGGTTTAATGAAAAGGTGCTGTCAAGAGCTAACCGCCTAGAAGGCAGCTTGTCCTCAGCTGGCTGCCTTCTCCCTGTTGCCTCCCTTCTCACTTAGGAGCTCCTGCTCAGCCCTGCAGACCCCAAGACCTCAGTGCCTGAGGCTTAACCCCTGCGGTTTGGACAAAAAGGAGCCATAGCGCTGAAATGCACAGGCCTCCTTCACGCCCGGAGACTGTCCTGCTACCCAGCCTGTGGCCCTGGGTTCTAGACCTGTTGTTCCCACCGACGCTCCATCAGCCACTTCCCTAGCCGGGTGGTGATCATGGCAGCCGTGGCTTGGAGAAGACAACGCAGCCACAGGTGGCTTTCTATGGATGGGTCAAGTGCACAAAGCTATTCGGTGTTTGGCCAAGACGACTTCTAGCTTAGAATTAGAATTCACCTCTGGAGAGGACTTAACCTTGACAAGTAATTTCTTATTTAATTTTCTAACACTGCTTTGATATGGGTACCATTGTGATTCCCATTTTAGAGACAAGGAAATTGTGAAGGGATTTGTCCTTGGTCACACAGCTAGAAAGTGACAGAGCAAGGATTTGAACCCAGATTGGTGTTATTACCAATTATTACTACCGTTATGACCAATCTGGATTCAAATCCTTGAATCCAGTTCAAATCCTTGAATCTGACAATAGTTGGGCTGGCTTTCGAGTCAAGCTCACACACTTTCCTCCTTGTCCGGAGCTCCCTAATGCTGACATGCTGTCTTGAAGCACCCTCTAGATGTCACCTGGCCCCTGATTCCCTGTCCCCATCTTTAACCTCCAAGTACTTCCAGGCCTGGCCTGCGCCCGAGCTCCGCTTCCTCCTCCACAACCGGCTCTCCCTGCCTCTGCTCTGTGTCTGATCTTCTTCCTGAGTTCCAGAACTGCTGCCACCTGCAGGCCTCTTGTGCAAAGATGCTTGAGCTGTAATAGAGGATGTCAGAGCAGTAGGGCTGGGGACCCAATCCCTGCCAAGTATGCTCCGCCACGGGGGCCAAGTGAGGGCAGAGGCCCCGGAGTTTTAGTCTCCTGGAGAGATTCGCGTCTGGGCTATTCTGCAATGCCCATCCGGATCCCTCAGGAAAAGATGGCGGTGCACTGAAGTCAAGTGCACGTAAGTGGTGGGAGGCGCTGACATGAGTTCCAAGGGACATCTTCCGTCTGAGATGAGTCCGTCTCCTGTTGCAGTCCTGCCCGAATGCTCTCGGAAGGAATATTGTGTGCGTGTTTCTATACTACCTTCCTTTTCTATCTCACGAAGGTCTCTACTGGCTGGACCATAATGCCGCTGGAATCTATGAAGCTATGAAATGTTCCCTGTGATTGAGACTAGGATGGGCTGTCTTTCTCCAAGTAATAGATGCAATCAACGCTGATCAGTGAGGGATCAGGAGAGCCACAGCCTCATGGCAACAAACAGATTTAGAATCTGTGGCTGAAATCCAGACTGCACCCCAAAACTAGGCATGGTCTGCTAAGGGACACAGTCCAGTCGGAGCGAAAGGCTAAGTCCATAGCTCTGGTTTTATTTCTAGATTTGCCACTGGGAGACTGTGCCAGTCTCGGTAGCCAGCTCCCTCGGCCTCAGCAGATAATTCACATAGAGGAAGAAAGTGGGTGGAGGGAAAAAAGACTGTTGGCTAACTTTGCACCCTGTAAGAGGTAAGCACTATGGGAGTTGCTTTCCGTAAACTACCGCCCAATCCCCTAGGGGGCAAGTATCAGATTCCCACTTTAAAAAGGAGGAGGAGCCGGGGTCAGAAAGATTGGCCTCCACATCACACAGAGACTTAATGGTATATATGGAATGCGAAGCAGTAACGATAGCAATAATAGTTAACACGAATCCAACAACAGTTAATATGCGTGTAGAATAAGCCGTGTTCTGGACAATATGTTGACTCCTTGAAACCTCACCAAAAAAACCATCAGGTCAGTAATATTATCCCAGTTTTACAGATGAAGAAACTGCATACTGAGATTTGTAGCTTCCACCCAGTGCCAGCTGCTCTGACATCTTTCCTCTTCATGTGACAGAAGTGTCATGAGGGCCAGTGGCATTGGGGAGCAGGACACACTGCATTTTCCCCAAAAGAAAGTGGCCCCTGGACCTTCCTTGGCTTCCTTCCCAGATCGGAAGGGAAGGGATATTTCCAGCGTGAAAGGGACTGGATATTTCCAGAGTGGACAGGAAGGGATATTTCTGTAGCTGGCCTCCGACAGCACCAGTAAGCATCATGGCTTTCAGGAATACAGGAGAGCACCTTTGACAGCTCCAGACCCATCACCAATTGCATCCCTGGACCACAGGGAAGGGCAGCGGCTCACTGCCT